ACGGCAGTAATCATGGAACTTTCAATGTGGCACATTCGAGGTGCCGTTCAATGAAAAGCGAGAACTAGATAACATGGAATTTTAAATGGGTCAGAAGTTTTGGTGTCCTTTTGCGACAGTCGTTCTAACATTTCCCCCATCTGTCTTACATTGTTATGCAATTCTACGTCTAAATAAGGTATGATAAACAAGATCAACAAGGAAAGGCGGCGTTCCCCCATATGACCCAGCAACAATTAAGAACCAATGGCAAGGAGCCCAGGCGGACCCCAAACAAAAACAGGACAGGGCAAAGACAGAGCACGGACAGGTTAATCATTAAATGATAAATAATTTGTAACTGATTAGGAATTCAAAGAAAATAATTATAGGCCCACTAAGGGGAAGGGGACAGGAGACCGGAGGAAGGGGGGTAATCAAAGAAATAAAAACTAGAGGCAATGGGGAAGATACTTACCGTAGACGATAAAACAACAAGGGACACAAGCAAAAGTGTCACCAAAACAGTATGAAACAACATAGACATACATCTAAGGAACACAGTGGGTCACTAAATTACCACTTGCTGCGTTTTTATCATAAACCCAGTCAAATCTGTGCGACAATTGCATTTTACCGAGGACTGTCTGAAATTCCATTTTATACTATAGTTTGAAGATTTTTTTTCTCAGAATTTTAAGTTATTTTTGGTTGTTTTGAACTTCTTCCCCTACACAACTGTCCTCAATTTTTTTATAGATAATAAACTAGAAATTGATATGGATTTTTATATAAATTGAAATTCTTCTTTGCTTCATCATGTATAGTATAATTATAATTCATTAAGATGTACCTACAATTACATTGTATTTTCATATGTGCGAAATCATGGCAGGGTTATAAAATAAAAAGGCAGTTCAGAAATTTCACCTAATGATCACAGATGTTAAAAAATCCGACTTTACAATTTCTAATTTGACAATTTAAATGGACATCATAAACTATTTAATTTCTAAGTAAGGTTATCAGAATTTCCTTTTCACATTTTATTTTTAATGCTGAAATATTCGTGTGTGAATAAAAGAGTTATTCCTGCAATAATTCATATAAATAACTTAAACAAATTGTATAATAAAGCTTGACAAATACAATCGATTGCCGCCGATACCTGTGTTACACCATGGAAATTTTACAATTTACCATGTCACCGCTTGCGTCATTTTTCAAAATGGCCGCTTTCAATGATTTTCAACGATTTAAAAAGTTAAAGTGGAATATTTAGACTTGTGTTCGATTTTGAAGTATGATAACTTGGAACCTTGCATAAAAAACGGTTCTCTTTCAGGTAATGTAGACCGTTTCTTTGAAACTTTTTTAGTTTTCGCTCCCAACAACATCTAATTGGGAAGCGTCCGTGCATAAAAATGCAGTTCATGGTTGGACTTGGAAAAAGACAGCGCCCATCCAAAATTATCTCGGTGTTTCTTTGACAAGTCTAATTAGTTGGACTAGTGTACACAATGCATGGAGTCGTACAAAAGGGAAAATGATTTGAAACAAAACAGTCGCAAATAATCAAAAATCAGTCAGAAAACGAACGTGTTAAAAATATTATCAAGTATAACATGAGCATTTTATGAAAAAAAATAAAACAATTGTGAAAAGTTCTAGATCTAGTAAATTGTTAATCCTATTTTCTTTTTAAAACAGTTTAAATTTTATTGATAGAAACCATAAAATTCATATCTTCATAATTGAATACCCAATTGATCTTGAAATCATAGGGTATCGAGTTTTGGAATACCCAATTAAATGGAACCAATACACAATTCCAAAGGAAATGATGGAGTAATACCCAATTCACTTTTAAAGCTTATCTGTTGCTCTGCTCCCATCAAAAAATGACAAGGCTGACAAAAGCCCTCCCGTGAAAATGACAGGGCAGAAAAAAAGCCCTCCCTTGAAAATAACAGGGCGGACAAAAACCCTCCCATGAAAATGACTGGGTGGACAAAAGCCCTCCCGTGAAATTAACAAGGCGGACAAAAGCCCTCCCATAACAAATATAAATATGTATCTTGAATACCTGTGTTTTTTCAATGCACTCAACATATTAAAATTGTTACATATATTTCTTGTTGTTTTCAATTGGCCTAAGTATGTGTATGATCCAGAACCACATTTTATTCTGAATATACCTTCCTGAATGTTTAACGAGGTAACTTTTTGCACAAATGTCGTTAAAAACAAAGTCACTTTTAAAAGTAATTGACTCATTACAAGGCACATTATAAATGTCTTTAACTTTAAGATGTTAGCACTAATTATTCAGATGCTTGTCAGAAATGTGCTCAAGCTCATACAAACATGATTATGCCAATGTATTACCTAAAATATACATGAATACAATTTTAATATGTTGAGTGCATTGAAAAGAAAATATAAACTATTCAATGTACATATATGTATTTGCTGCGGGAGGGCTTTTGTCCGCCCATTTATTTTCACGGGAGGGCTTTTGTCTGCCCTGTCATTTTTATGGGAGGGCTTTTTCCACCTTGTCATTTTCACGAGAGGGCTTTTGTCAGCCTTGTCATTTTTTGATGGGAGGGCTTTTCTCTGGGAGGGCTTTTGTCCTACACTCATATTGAGGCTTTTGATATATAATGAGACTTCATGTTGCGCATGCAATTGTGTGTATAACTTACTGGTCAAGGTCACATCAAGAACTAAATTGTCAAAAGTTAGTATATAAATGCAACATGTTGGGACCATTTTTCCTGTGTTTAGAAGGTGGACTTTAGAATAACTTGACAATCGTATTCATAATTTAATGAGCCATTGAAGAACTGTTTATGTAGGGCAAAAGTCAAGGTCATGCTTGCAAAGTCAAGTGTCAAAAAAAGTAAAGAACACTTCTTAAGTTTATAACCTTGTCAGTTATATTGAGGATATTGAATATAGTGTAGTTTCAATACTGAATTTGTTGAAAGAGTTGAATAAAAATAAATGACAACCCCTGGCCAGCATGATGTTATTGTATTCAACAAGGTCAATAAATTTAAAAATGAAGCTACATGAATATCATAGAGGCTACACAAATATAATATTCTACTTATCACATACCCATAATTATAAGATCTGATTACAGTAAAAAAAAGTATTTGAAATGGCCTTGAATCTGTCAACCTATTAGAAGAAAATATGAAAATAAGGCATCAAAGGTCGGTGGCATACATGTACAGGCCTCGACATTAGCGGTGGTCCGTTGGTCCGAGACCACTTGATTTTGGCAAGGACCACCTAAATTTTAAAACCCACTGGTCCGTGGGACCACTTGAATTTTCTGGTTGATGCAAGGCTCATTTGGGAGAATGGCGATTTGGTCAAAAACATGTTATATAATTTTGTTTAAAATCATTAATCTATGTCCGATGTACATGTATATGGTTCATTAATCTCTGATTAATTAAAGAAGTTCTTAAGTCATCAATAACTTTCATTTTAAGTTGCTAAAATTTTGTTTATGCAACTTAAAAGAGTTAAGAATTTGTGATATTAATTTAGGTACAAATTTCATTCAAATGGTGCTAGTAATTATGCATCGTCTGATACCCACAGCTGAACCATTACCATTTATGTTATGTTACATGTTAATCAACCGTGAGTATCCGATGATGGTAATTATATGATATTGGATAAACTTAAATTTCAGATACTTGAATAATGGCAGCAAACGAAAGGAACTGGAAAAATACATCTAGTAATTCTATGCTATTTACCTTTATTTTAACGGTTTAAGGATAAGAGATCTGTTTCTTCTAGAGTTAAAATTATTTTAATAGGTTAAAAATACCCAATGTCAAAAATGAATATCAACCAACAAGCAACAGGGAGGTAAAATTCTGTATTATAAATCTGTGAGAAAAATAAGACAAGTTATAGTAAATAATAATGTTGTCATTATTTTAATAATTTAGATATTTCCTTGTTATCAAAGACAAGAATAAGATAATTTATTAGTTCCATTAAAAATGTTAATCTTTAAAAAATGCTATGTTATTATCATGATTATAAGATGTACCACGTATCAGCAATGAATATTTGAATAACAGTTAGAAAATAACACTTCACAGACACAAATGGCTTCACTATTCCCTAACTTGAGTTGAGGGAGAAATCACTTTAATATAAAAGTTAACATGAATAAGATCTCTGTTGTGTATTTTTGACTGAGATAAAAACAAATAAACAAATAACTCAACGATAAAATACCTACTGACTTGCTCTCCCTTTTCTGATTAGATGAAAAATATATATCTAAAAATATCTGTTTTCTTTAAAGGTTAATAATACATCTTTGTCATAAAGTTTAAACATTTTTTCTACATTTGCAAAAAAATGATTTAATAATGATAACTGACCACCCGACTTCTGGAAGGACCACCTAACTTTCAAATCTAGTGGTCCGGCGTACCTGTGACCTGCTAAAAAAGTTAGTGTCGAGGCCTGCATGTATGTAATGTAGCTTTATAAGCTCCATGTTATAAAAGTGCTGGTTGAAACAGGACTGATGAAATGTTTATAAACATGTGGTGTGGTGTTTTTTTTATGACCACAAATACACCAGTTTCTATCGACTATTAACTAATCACTAAACCCAGGAAGAAAACAGTAATTTTCATCATTTTTTTAGGGATGCTTATTGTTCTTTTATTTCCTACTTCTTATACATGAGAAGGTCTAGAGTCTATTTTAGGATATGCATTGTACATTTCAATCATCTTTTTAAAAGATTGTGCATGAATGACAATCATGTGGGTAAAACTAGACAGAAATAGAAAATGAACAAATATGACCAGTATGCCAAACCATTCTCATTTATTATGGGCAAGAGTTAAAAATGAAAGGGACACCTAAGGATTCCCTTCCATAATTTCAGCACAAAAATTGACATTTGAATGAAATTAATAAAATGTGTAAAAAAATGTAACAAAATATCTTTCTCTTTTGTTCTTCAGATATACGGATGGAAGAAATGTTTTATGAAAAACTTGATAAAAGAAAGCGAGACAGAAATAATGTTTATGAATCACTTGGGGGAGTTATGGTGGATGCTGGGAATGAATTTGGCCCTGGAACTGCTTATGGTAAGTCTGATATACATTGAATATATGATATAAGTTCTCTATAATTAAGAACTATGAGAGAAGAAAAAGAAAAAAATATTGGTATGTATGTAAGCAAGGAAAAGATCATTTAAAAAAAAAGCATATTTTTATGCATGATATTCATCTATTTGTCACTACTAACTTCTAAGAATTGATTATACTGCAGATTGGTTGGTTTAACTGAGCATTGTTTCATTCATTCATTCATTCATTCATACTCTTTCTTTCTTTCTTTCTTTCTTTCTTTCTTTCTTTCATTCATTCATTCTTTCATTCATTTATTCAATTATTCAATTATTCATTCATTCATTCATTTATTCACACTCTGGTAATTAACCTGATATATATATCCATTCATGGTATGTATACTATATAATTATTACAGAATATAATTGCACTATATATATATAAAATAACATGTCATAACTCAGTGCAAAATCTCTAAATCATAGTATATTTGGTAACTATTTTGGAATATGTTAGTTTATGTGAAAAACTTCTACCAGACTTTCTAAATATAGAACCCTGCAATTTATAAGTCTGAACAAATAGATTAACTCTCCATTCCTGTATAAAATCAATTAATTCTATCCTAGAATTCATGTTCCCATGAAATTGCAGTATTGACTGAAGATCATGGGATTTTATTCCCATGAAATTAGATAACTTTAAACAATGTATTTTTCTTTAACACCAGTAGAGTGATTATGAAAAGAAATGTTCTTGTAATAAATGGTGTAACAGTTCTGTGGCTACCTTATATTATTGTGTTTTGCTTCATATGGTACACCAGTTACTTATAACCTGGCGTTCTCATATGGGCGGAATAGCAAGTCATTTACTTGAAGTTTAGAAAACCCACATAAAAGCCTGAGGATATGGTCAGACTGAAATATTCTCGTAAATGCCTTCCTACTTTGAGTTAAAATATTTCTTGTTATTTTGCTACCTTGACTAAGCAGTGAGTTGACAAACATTTGGTGAGGGCATATAGATTAACGCTTGTCCATCCTTCTGCCTAGCTATCTGTAAAAGTTGTTAGCTATCTGTAAAAGGTGCTGATTATCTTTAAAAGGTGCTGGCTATCTGTAAAAATAGCTGGCTATCTGTTAAAGGTGCTAGCTGTCTGTAAAAGGTGATAGCTGTCTGTAAAAGGTGCTAGCTATCTATAAAAACAGCTGGCTATCTGTTAAAGGTGCTAGCTATCTGTAAAAGGTGCTAACTAGCTGTGAAAGGTGCTAGCTATCTGTAAAAGGTGCTAGCTATCTGTTAAAGGTGCTAGCTATCTGTTAAAGGTGCTAGCTATCTGTTAAAGGTGCTGGCTATCTGTAAAAGGTGCTGACTATCTGTAAAAGGTGCTAGCTATCTGTAAAAGGTGCTAGCTATCTGTTAAAGGTGCTAGCTATCTGTTAAAAGTGCTAGCTATCTGTTAAAGGTGCTAGCTATCTGTTAAAGGTGATGGCTATCTGTAAAAGGTGCCAGTTATCTGTAAAAACAGCTGGCTATCTGTAAAAACAGCTGGCTATCTGTTAAAGGTGCTAGCTGTAAAAGGGACTAACTAGCTGTAAAAGGTGTTAGCTATCTGTTAAAGGTGCTGGCTATTTGTAAAAGGTGCTAGCTAACTGTAAAAGGTGCTAGCTATCTGTAAAAGGTGCTGACTATCTGTAAAAGGTGCTGACTATCTGTTAAAGGTGCTAGCGATCTGTAAAAGGTGATGGTATCTGTAAAGGTACTAGCTATCTGTAAAAGGTGCTAACTAACTGTGAAAGGTGCTTGCTATCTGTAAAAGGTGCTGGCTATCTGTACATGGTACTGACTATCTGTTAAAGGTGCTGACTATCTGTTAACGGTACTTAGCTATCTGTTAAAGGTGCTGACTATCTGTTAATGGTACTAGCTATCTGTTAAAGGTGCTGGCTATCTGTTAAAGGTGCTGACTATCTGTAAAAGGTACTAGCTATCTGTTAAAGGTGCTGACTATCTGTAAAAGGTACTAGCTATCTGTTAAAGGTGCTGACTATCTGTTAACGGTACTTAGCTATCTGTTAAAGGTGCTGGCTATCTGTAAAAGGTGCTAGCTGTCTGTAAAAACAGCTGGCTATCTGTAAAAACAGCTGGCTATCTGTAAAAACAGCTGGCTATCTGTTAAAGGTGCTAGCTGTAAAAGGGACTAACTAGCTGTAAAAGGTGTTAGCTATCTGTTAAAGGTGCTGGCTATTTGTAAAAGGTGCTAGCTAACTGTAAAAGGTGTTGGCTATCTGTAAAAGGTGCTGACTATCTGACTATAGAAGTGTAAGAAGAAATGTCCTGCATATATCACAAAATAGAGGTAGCATTTTGTACATAATACTTGATTAGTAAAACAGGTATTCATTGTTTTATTTTGTGTTATTGCCTATAAATAGGTGTAGGAATTTAACTTTATAGCTCTCACATTTGTATCATTTATTGTAGGAAACAAGACAAATATTCTCACCATTCTACTGCAAGTCTCTATGGTAGCAATAAATATTTGTATTCCTGTTTTGGGTTATGATGTAAAGTAATGGTAAACATAATTTTTCTGGATCAGATGTAATAAATATATCTTCATTGATATGATACACTTACTAATGAGACAGGGTTTAGCAGGATTTAGCCAAGTATAAGTGCCGGTGTTTGCCTCTCAACTCGGGAATCAAGCTGGTGCTCACTCATCTTGTGTATTTATGTGTCATATAAATTCTAGTTTAAGTTTCATAAATTGCACTAGACAATGGTTGCTTCCACTAATAGGCCGAATAATTTATGATAAACACTTTAAATTTAAACAAATTATGTTGAACCGCACAGGTTGGTTAACAGCAAACAAAATTTTTTGTAACTGTAAACTATAGATATCGTGTCAATAAATATTTTATTTTGCATTCCTGCCATACTGCTACAATAACAGTAATCAACAATGATAGAGGTTGGACGGGATTATGTTCTGTTGTTCCATTGTGTGGGAGTAATTTATGGCTTTATATTGTTTAAAGATAATAGCTTTCACAACTTTCTTTTGGAAATGTCTTTTCTACATGATATATGACTGTCAAGACAATGCAGTATGTTTGTGCCGATTTTTTCAAAGAAATAGCGGAGTCTTAGATATTGCGGGGAAAGAAATACCGACAGTAAAGCACGGCTGTAAACCATGGTAGTAAACCATACAGAAGAAAAACTATTTCGAGAGAGTGCACCCTCATACATGATGATTGGTTTTAATTATGTTTTACAACAACATATCGTTATCATTAGATAAGTTCCCCCGGAAACTCTAAATATTCTATTTTTAATACAGAAAATTTTCCCAGTATGATGCGCATGTTGGTAACATTTTTTCGTGCTTGCTTGCCTCATGAATACAAATAAAGATTTCACACAGCTTTTGTATATATTGATTAGCCCTAATAATGCCTCCAGGGGGCGCTTGTAATAGCCAGCTTATATTTGTGTTTCATTCATGAGTATTCCCTGATGCTTGCTCTATTGTCTAAGATATATTGATAATGGATGCCGTCTAGAATAAATATTATTCTGCCTCCCATAATTTTCAGAGATAATGTTCTTACATGACAACCTGTGCAGTATATAAGAATTACTGTACAGTTTTATTACAGTATTTTGTATATGGCTTCATGTTTTAAGCACAGTTAGGTTACCCTTTTTGCCCGTCTTATTCCATTTATCTTATTGTTATTTTAAAGATTTTTTCCATTTTGGTCCAGGTATGTCAGAGTTAGTCCATTGGGCGGTAGGGGGATGAGAAAATCATATTATCAGGTTCAGTACCTATTAAAACTTTTGAAAGTAGGTTTACCGTATAATTTTATGTTCTTGGACCATTGCATTGCTAAATTTGTACAATGTACTTGTCCCACTATGAAAACTGTCCATAATGTTGATTTATTTAAGAGAGCATTTTATCAACAAACTATTTTATCAACAAACCATTGCCATTTTTAAAGTAAACTAGCATGCATTGAGCACTGCTGTCCCTGACTAGACTCAATCACACAATATATCATTTTCAGAATGCGTGTGACAATCTCTTCCACTTATCACTATTTCAGAGCTGAAGTCTTGATGAGGCATGTTATCTAGTGACAGTTTTATAACAACATTATAAACATGGTTTGTTCTCCACAACTAATTCTTATAAAGCATGCAGTTGTCAGATTCTTGTGGGGTCAGTCAAGGGTTTAATGCTGTATTTGAACCAACTTACTTTCTTTGAGTGATTACTGCCACCTAAATTCAGCAGAAATTCTAACAATTTTTATGAAAAAGCTTCCAAAGTTTTAAGTAAGAAAGATAACTTGATACCTTCTACTATTCAACCAGTCAAGTTCAAGGTCGGTCAGGACATCTGTGCTGTCTGTTCATAGGACGCACTGTTCTCCATTCAGTCAGTACACATTTAAAAATTTTCTCAAGAAAAGATGAAAGATGGACTATTTCATTTGAGATATTTAGCGTAGTTAGTGTTGAATTGAAAGAAGTATAAGAAAGACAAAGAGTACAAGAAGAATTAAGTATACAATAATGGCCCACAAATAGAGATCGGATTAAAAGGAATTATTGGGTGGATGATGATGATAATATTGATTGTGAGTCGTCAGTGATTTCTCATAACCCTTGACTCACAGTGCATTGGTTATTTATTACACTGATTGTTAGTTATTGATTTACTCTGAGGGGAAAAAAACTGAGGTTTTTTAATTATACAGAATCCTTTTCTCTGAATTCAATCCCATTTTTCTATGCCATTTTTGTAAAAGCTTTCTCGATTTTGTTTAAGAATAAAACAATTTTATGAACATAATATTCTAGTGATAATATAGAATTTTTAATTACTAACAGACTGATACTTAATAAAATGTTCTAATTTAGCTTTGGATAATTATTCTTTTTCCATTATTGTAAAAAGCATATTTCAGTGTATTTATATGCAATCC